TATTTTAGTAACTGTCAGCTTAGATCATTACAAATTAAATTAGAGAAGGGCAAGAAACTGCTGTTTTTTTCCTGCTTCTCTTTCTTTTCAGGTTTGCATGTCACGTCCATCACTGTTTCTCTGTAGGTAGTCTTGTAATGTTTTGTGTGAATTTTTAAAACATTGGAGAAGCAAGAGGCAGGTGGTTTTTTTTTTTTTTTTCCAAATTTCGAATGCAAAGTCAGAAGTTAATGAAATAACTCAGAGGACTGGTATATGCTTTAATACTGTGGGATGGTTCTCCAGCTTCCATAGATGAAAAGCTTTGAAGTAAAAGACCAAAAGGAACGTTTTTAATCTTTAGCTTTCATTTACCCAGAGCATTACTCTTTTCTGAGGGAGGGCATTGAGATTGCTGTGAAGGCTAAACCTTAGTAAGATACCCTTGGAAAAGATGGCTTGCTTTCACCTCGATGATTTCATTGGACCAAATGGCTCAGTCTGTTTACCTAAGGAACATCATCTTACACAATTTTTAAGAGTTTAATTAGAAGGCAGTTTGCTGACGTATATAGAGGTGGTTTGTTTCCCTCAAAATATTATGCTAAAAATTTAATCTATTTTTATCTTTTATTATTTTTAACTTTGTCATCAGGTTTTTTTTCTCTTGTTTAAAAATACTTTCATATCATGCTTGCGTCTTAATTCACTGATCTTTCTTGTTCTACTCAGATTATTTTGGGATGTGTTGCTAATGAAATAAGATGCTATTTTTCTCTTTCGTTTCTGTTCAGTGTAAGGTATGTTCTTTGTGACACAGCAGCTAGATCTTTTGACTGTTTCTTTATTTCGGAAAATAATAGCTTTTAACTTGGTTCTCTAACAAAAATAACTTAAGCAGTAGCCTACCATTCTAGTAGCATTGCCTCTAGTAACCTGTTGACCCATTATGGCAAGATTTGATAGAGAGGTATGTACGCCTAAGGTAATTAAGTTCTTGGGTATCTTTTAGAGCAGCTGGATGGGAAGGATGAGTGCTGAGTAAGGAGGAGGTTTTAGTTATGAGCTCGGTTATCCTTTGCGTTTGGTCTCTCGCTGTCCAGTGTAGAACACGTGTAGTTTGGAACCTGTCCTAGTGTGTCCTCACTTTAGTTGAGGAACATAGGGAGAACCTGGGGATATGGTGAGAGATGTGCTTTGAATGTAGTAGAGAAAGAGAGGTTAAGAAGTCACTAGAGAAGGGGAGGAATAGGAATATTACGGTATATTATTATAAAGTCAAATTTGACTAGTTTGGCTGTTTTTAGCATCTATTTATTTATTTTTATTTTTTAAGGGCCCTAATTGTGAAAGGACGTGAAATGAAAAATAGTATCTGCCTTGTGTGTCATTGTTACAAGCCTGACATAAGTTTGTCTGATTTTCTGGGGTAGTTAAGGTTATATAGGATCAGTACTTAATTAGCCCTTAGCTGTAGGCATATAATTTATTTGCCAACAGAAATCTTAAGTTGCCTGTGTAGTAACCAGCATGTAGGTGCCTGCGTAGTGATTCCATTGATGCTGTGGGATCTAAAGCTCAGTGGCTGGAATCCCCCTGTTAATAGCAGGGAAGTATCTGAGGACATAGCACACATCTCTTACTTGAGTGCATATTGAATGAATTCCCAAGTATAGAATTTAGGATGAGACACTACCAAAGACTTGCCAATTAGCTGTCATTAAATGTCAATATTTGAAATAATTTTTTATGGAAACCTTTTACCTCTACATATAGAGAATTATATAGTTACATATTTTGAACCACATTCCATTGTTCAGTACTGGTTTTTGATTCCTGTCCTGAAGTGGCATCTTGAGGCAGTTGCCATGTATGGATTGCATCTGTCTAATTCAGATCTAGCTGTGTTTTGTTCTGGACTGAGTTGTCCATTCCAAATGGTCGATATTTTAGAGCATACCTACCTTTTGCAGTGAAGCAAAAAACCTGCTGGGATAGCACTGGCATTAATGGGGCTTTTGCTTGGTTGCTGATAACACGACTTTTTGCTTTCCTGACTTACTGTTTGAGCACTTCGGAAATGCAGGGACAAATTTCACAAAACTGACTTGCTCTGTTTTATGATATAGAGAAGCCGTAAATTGAAGGTATCTCTATAGTATTGCCAAGTGTTTTGATTAAAAAATCGCTGCCTTTATATGCATCTTATACTGGATTAACATTTCTGTTTCCAAATAAGTTCTGAATATGAACAAGTTTATCTCACTTGTAGTATTTACCATAGGACATATGTAATAACATTGTTCCTTTAAGCTTTTCTTATATAAGAAATCTTAAATTCTAAATTGTTTATGGCAAGTACATGCAGCTCTAATATTTGGTGCTTATAATCTCTTATGTTCTGATTCTGAGCCCACTAATGACAGAAATTATTCAAAACATTTTAAAATTCAAATTAGAGGCAAACAGCAATGAAAAATACTGCACAAAGTAACCCAGGTCTATCTGATTCTTTTCTGTGAATCTGTAAGGTAACTTTAGTGAAAACATACGTAGAATTACAGATGCCTAATTACTGGAAGGCTGTGGCTGAAAATCACAAATGTTCAATTTTCAGTTGTGAATTTGATGTTATCTTCCATTGTGAATGCTGGCAATAGTATAATGATTCTGAGCAGAAGTTAGCGTTGCAAATTTGTTTAAATGTGGAAATCAGTTTGGAAAAACATTAATGTAAAATTCTGTTACACATTTGTAGGATATTTTATATGCTTTTAAAGTACGTCGAAGGTGTTGATTTTAATGTTTGTTTTCTAGTGATCGTCAAACAGATTCAAATATGTTTGAAGGTTTAAAAATCTAATGTAGGTCTAATCTAATGGAAGCATAATGCGGGCATAATTTAATGTGACATTCGTTGTCATATACGTCACACATTATATAGAAGACAGATGAAAACCAACATTTTCTTGACAAAGGTGACTAAATTATAAATCTTGTCTGTCCATTTTGCTGAAGGTTAAATATGATTCATCACTCCTTAAAATATAGTTATTAACTTGTAATCTTTTCCACTTAGGGTAAAAAATAATTTTATTGTTACCTATATTTCCAAGTTATATATCAGTTTTCAAGATGGCATTACTCTGGCTTAAAACTGATGGCATTATATGGCTTAAAATTATCAAAGTTTGTAAGTGTTCTTAGGACTAATGCCAGTAGTAAAATTGGCAGTTAATGTGCTGATGTCTGATCAAACTTTTTTTGTCTAGTTTTAATTTGCAGTGACCTTGGGTTGTGTAACATGTAGTTGACATGTAGCCCATGTTTCGTTAATACCTCTAACATTACATTGATAAATTCAGTTACTTGTAATAAATTGGTTCTTTCAGACTTGGACTCTTAGGTATCTACTGTGTGGCTTGGGGAAGGTAGAACAGCCCAATTATGACTGTATTATTAAATGTATAGTAAATATTGATATGTGTTAAATAGATGAGGTTTTACATTTTTTTTGTAAATTGTCTTTAGAGAAATGTGAAAGAGAACCTCAATGGTAATAAAGTATTCTAAAGAGCCTCAAAATAGACTAGTGTTTTCCATTCTACTACATTGCTTTCTACTACAGAGTTAACTCTTGCCTAAAACAGAAAGAAAACCTTCCTAAACAGTATGTTATTAACATGCGCGGATCAAAATCTGCATAGCTAGAAAGGTATAGATGTGTTGAACTGTCAGGTTTATTTACAGTATAACTATATTTAAATGTGTAAAATAGTTTCAAATTAAGACTGTTCACTATTTTAAACTAGTATATATCCCCTTTGAAGGAGAACCCCAAACAGGAGAAACATGATATTACCGGCTTCTTCAGAGTTGGATTTGTGGCTGCTTGTGATTCTCAACTGGCTTAAGATATTTTTGATCAGCTGGTTTTTCTTACATGAACACTAGCTGCTCCAAAAAAAGTTTTAAGAAATCATAAAGTAGGCAGTGGTGTTTTTATCATATGACAAATTATTTCCTAACATGATTTCCTTCCAGAAAAAACAAGCATTTTAAAGTTTGTTTATTTATTTATTTAGTGTAAAAGTATCAGACATTGTGGGTTAGTGGAATAGTCTCTGATGTTTTTCACTTCCTTCCGCATCCCTTCTAATTTTCTTTCCTTTTTAAACAAGGAGGAGTGTGTGATATTGTCAGCTTGTGGCAATTACTTAACGCATGCTGTTTGTAATGCTGCTATTTCAGAGATAAAAATGTAGTGACTGAAACTGGACTCGTGTGAGTTGCACGTAGTTACTTAGAGCTGCTTGTAAACCATTGGTGTTTGCTGCTACAGTTCCTAGAAACCTCTTTTCCCTGACACTGTTCATATTTAGATTTTTTGGCCAACTGCAATCCTGAAATAATTTCGACTTTTTGTATTACCCATTATGTCTGTTTCATACCGGTCATATGTTGGTATATGCTACAGTTTTATGAGCATCTGCCCTATACCCATTATATTAAGCTTCAGTTTGAAAGCTTTAATTCTCGCTTACTCCTCCAAAGCTATAAGAATTATTTTCTGTTTCTCTTTTGATGAAGTTTTGTAATTTTGATTTTTTTTTTTTTTTAATCCGATCACTTGGCTTACAAATAGAGTGCTTCTAAGTGCTCAAGGAATTTACTGTAATATACTGTTCTTATCAATTTTCAAATAACGCATTTTAGTATTGGGAAGTTTGTGCAAAGTCTGTAAAAGATTTGTAATTCTGGTGGCAGTCTTTTATAGAACAAGACTCTACATGCTCAGGTCAACAAACATATTTATATTTATTTTTTGGCTAGTTCTGTAGATTTATATCCAGAATTTGAAGCTGTTCTAACATCCGTTACTGTAGTTGTCTTGCAATGGTTCTGTAGTTAATGCTTTAAATTATTTCCTGTGGTATGTTTTTGTTGTTGTTATGAATAATAGATAAATAGCAGAAACATTATGTTACCTAATATTGAATTTTAAATGTATTTTCTTCCAGAGAACTAGAGGACGAAAACGAAGCTTTGTGCCTGAAGAAGAAAAAGCTGAGGTTGGAATATAGTGTTTTGTTTGTTTGTTTGTTTTTTTAAACAGTTACACAAAAAAAATTAAACTTTGGGCTGAAGTGTTACTTTCAGTGCTATAATTGAAAATATTTGCTTTCCTTCCCTCCTTTCCCCCCCATTCCTTTCTTTTTCCTTCTGCTATGACAGGAACGGATTCCCAGAGAAAGAAGACAACGACAGTCTGTTCTACAAAAGAAGCCCAAGTCGGAGGATTTAAGGACTGAATGTGCTACCTGCAAAGGGACTGGAGACAATGAAAATCTAGTCAGGTAGGTTTGGTGCTCTGACCTTATGAGGAATTAAAGTTCCATCTTCATCACTTCATCATCGTGATTATAATGAAGAAAATGTGCTTTATAAAAAAACAAACAAAAATTATTTAAGGGAAACATTACATCAGAAATATTGACTTGATTCACTTACTGACCTGCCAAACACATTTGCACTGTGGATTAAGATGTAAATAACCAAGATAATCTGTTTTTCTAACACAAGAGAATTAATTTTCTCTTGTCAGGGTGAATTGTCAATGTTTCAGAGCAGGTCAGAAAGATAAACAAACTAGCAATTTAATTATATTAAAGCTACAGGAGCATCCTAAAAGTAATTAAATCAGCATCATTAACAATTTTATGAGCTGAAATGTGGATTATGAGGAATTTATGTTCTTAAAAATGTATTAATGCTACCTCCATTAATGCAGATCATGAAAGGGTTTGATAATCATGTTTCTTATCTGAAACAGAAGTGAAAAAAAATGTTGAATGGTGTTTTAGTAGGTGCAGAAATCTAATTAAAGTGTGGAATAGCTACCATTGAATAGCTACTGTTGACCACAACTTCTGCTGATTTTTACTTTATAGCTGGCATTGTGGCCTCTTTGCAAAGCTGTAGAAGCTGCTCACAATTCTTGAAAGAAGAATAATGGAGCTTAGCAACCAAAAAGCATATTTTAATTGAATCTACTGAGCTTTCATTAAAATGATCTCATAATAAGTTCAGATAAAAAAGTGTTGCATTTAGGTCCTGTATGCTTCAACTAGATTTTTCTGGACAAGATCTCCTCTTTAGCTCAGATATAATTGTTGGTTTTAACTGGAAGGATTAATACATCTTTTAATTTATTTCAAGGAATCAGAGTTATGAGAAAAGTCGGAATCAATGATATATCCAAGCAACACATAGCTTTAGAATCAGGATGTGTCCCGTGTACAGGTGTCTTGTACTCAGAATGGTTGATTTTAATATCAATTACAGCATATGATTTACTGTAGAAGTTGATACAATTTCAAGGGCTATGTGCCAGATTGTATTTTTATTTCCAGACTGGAGGCAGAGTGCTTGTATGACCTCATCAGTAACTGTGTGACTCTTACATAGACAAGCTACTCCTGCTAGGTACTCCTAGATCCTGCTTAGTACCAGTCTGTGAAATAGAGGCAGGATGTTACAGTGATTGCTGATACTGTTATACTGATGAGAACTGATGGCAACAGTTTTTAACTGTCGACAACAAGATAAAGGGCTTTGTTCAGCCCTATGGTTGGCAAGATATAAAAGATGCAGGAAGACCATTTTGTTGTGGGAAAGAATCCTGGAAACAACATGTACTGTGCTTTACTGCAAAAAAAGGCAGTGAATTAGTTTTCTTCTTCAGGCTTTTTCTAGAAGTACAAATACCACATTTGAGGACGTAAAGGATAAGATGAGAAAATGCCATGAAGAACTGTGTATTTAAGTTGAAATTAAAAAATACAGTAGAAAATTAGCAGTATGTCTTGTTTACTACATAAAAAGATTTTAGTAGTAATTTAGACGAGCCAAAAATAAGCATACTACAAGCCAAAACCCAACAAATGCTCTTAGAAACCATCCACATAATTAGGCTTGGAAACAGAATAGTAATCCTGCATGGGAAAAGGAGATTTTTATATTCTAATCCTTTGTTCATAAATCTCTGAAAAATATTTTCTTAAATCTTCTACCTTATTTTCCGTATTAGTTTATAAAAGACATTATGAATTTAAAACTTACTTTTCTTCAGACAATTCCTATAAATAGCTGCAATTTTATCCAAGTTAGGTGACCACTGCTTCTAAAGTGCTCTGGAGGCTTATTTTTGATAATTACTAAGTGATGGTAAAGTATATAGTAAATCTGATTTTTTTTTAGTATTATTTTTTGGTTCTTAAAGCTCTCTTTTGACGAGAGTAAATTCAGGAACTGTAATAAGATGCTGGATACCAGATAGGCTTTCCTGCTATGCAGCCAAAGGTGTGTAGGGGTGTGATCCACAGAGCGTTGCTATGTCAGAGAAAGTTTTCAGAATCCTTTTTTCTCTTATGTTGTCAGAAAGTAAGAGTGACCTGCTGCCTGCTCCGCTTCTTTCTCCTGCCTGTACCATCATGCAAGACTCCTTTGTGGTAGTAGAAATAGAGTGTTATTTTAAATGCAAGTTGGTAGGGCTCCTTGTAAGCAAGAGACGTGTAGGAGGGAAAACAAAAGTATTTTTTCAATATCCATTTTGTTTGGCATTCTTTGTTATTAAAGCCAAAACTTTCTCAGAATACTAGTGATCTTTGTCATCATCTTTGCTCTTCACTCAAAAAATGTTTTGTAATTACTGGAATTTATTTTCACCCTTTCCTACCCATCTGCAACTGAGAAAAGGGAGGTTTGCAGGGATGTTATGGAAGAGATTTTTCTGAATGTGAAAGTTGATCACTGAGTTAAATGGAAATATTCAACTGCTGAAACTGCAGATTTAAGGAATAATCTTGATGGGCTTTCTAGCTTTTCGTGCTATGTGTTACCTCAACCAGGGCTAGTAACATGACTCTTGAGCAATTTGCTTCTTTTAAAAGCAGTTGTAGGTTTTTTCTAGAATTTATGTGGCTCGCTCACTTTGGGGATGCTAACTGAGTAAGGATTAGAGGAAGATAAGCAATTATTTCTTATTTCAAAGAATGCAGCAGAGTATCTAGTAATGAATCTGGAATAAAAAACATATTAAATTGTTTAAATAGTTATTACTCTTTGACTAGTGGAGATTATATATTTTTTTTAATCTCCATTTTAGGTGCTTGTGTATAGCATTGGATGGCTGAGGGATTATTTGTTATACATGCAGTGTCTTTACTTAACCTGTTGTTCATATGTTTTAAAATTGTTAAATAATTGTCTGTGAAAGGATTTAAAATTCTTCCTAAAAAAGTAAGTTTTGTTCTAATAGACTATAATGGTTCATTAATTGGCTGAAGTTTGACTTAGTGACTATAGTTCTGTACCAAAAAAAGTGATTAAAGTTAGGATATCTTTAATTATTAGCTTTTGTCTAAAATATATTGACATGTTCCCTACTTTCATGTGTGCTAATAGTTGCCATATGTATATATTATAGACATACCAAGACAGTGCTTTTTTTAATCACTGATGTCGGGTTATATAGATAGACTGTTTCAGTATAGTAGCATGCACTAGGACTGAAAGTTTAGGTTTTGTGGTGTCCACAAAAAAGGATCAATTTTGTGATCTTTTTGTGATAAAGGATTTTTTTTTTAAATTTACAGTGAATTTATTTTATAAATTTTTTATATACATCTGTGTAAGTTTTATTGAGCTAAATACTTGTGCAGTTTTTTTACCTTTTACAAGCTTAGTGAGTGGCACAGTCAAGATTTACAAATTAGTTGAACAGTGAAAAGTTAATTGAAAATGTTTACTCAAATGAGGCAAAGCCTGATCTGTAACATTATGAATGACAGTAGGGAAGCTATATCTGTAAGTAGAGAAAAGTGTGGATTTTTAATATCTTTTTACTCAAATGATCTGTAATTGAGTTCTGAGAGGAATAGTAGTAAAATATGGAGAGTTTTTAATATTTTATATTTGACACAGATAGGTTTGATGTAAGGCATGGAGACACAGCACTCTTTAAAAGAGATAAGAGTTCAGTGAAAGGAGTTATATTGTGTGCTTGAAACTGAAGTATTGTGAAACCAGAGGGTACCTATAACAATATACTGCTCAATCTTAAGGAGTAATCAAATATTGAAAATATTTGCTGGAAATTGAAGACATATTTTGAAATACGGGAGTTTCTAAAGCTTGATGTGAAAGGTAAATTTGGTAACAAACTCAGAAAATAATTTTAAAGGATATATTTGTTTTTAGAGGTGACCTCTACTGTTTGGTTTAGAAAACATTTACGTAATGATGCTTTTATTTGTTACATTTTGTGAGTCTTTTAAAGTTGTATATAGTTTAGACATTTAATACATTTCCTGAGAGCTTTATTACAGTCTTGCATGAATCACTTAGAATGACAGATCTTGCAAAGGAATTGCTGGATTCATAAGTATCTCCTTTTCTTTGTGAGGCCATAACTCACTAATACAAATCTTTAAAATAGCTCTCTAATAGCTCACTTTAGAACTTAACCATATTTAGTGGAAATATGGATGGGGAAGTATATTTCAGGTGGCTCAATATGTAATAGCTTGCCCTCCATCTTGCACCATACTTCAGAATAAGTAAGTGATTGTACCACTGTACACACAAAGTGCTTCTAGCACAGTATTCCTGTCTATTCTGTTTTGGTAAAAGAAAAAATTAAGATGAATTTTGTATTTTATTTTAATATGTAGAACAGGTTTTTTTTAAAGAAGAATCCATGGGCTAATCTAGTTTATATTCTTCAAGGGAAAACTTCTAAATTACTTCACTTCTAAAGAAGTGGCCTCTTCTCAAAAAATAATCCAGCTCTCAACTGCTGCTATTAAAAAAAATAATATTATAGATTCAGTTGTTGGCTTTAAGGTGTGCTTGGGTAATATTTAGGAATATAGTGCATTAGATAAAATTGATACCTCAATACTAGATTTGAGAAAAGCAGAGTAAAATTAGAATATCGTTTATGTATGGGGCAAAATCATATTTGACCAGGTTAAAGAAATCTCCGAAAAAGCATTAGACTTCTTCATCGCACAATTTAGGGCAAGCATATAGAAATACATTATTTTATAGTTTTGTGTATTGAATTTTTATGCTTTATTGTCAGTTAGAATTCTCTATTTTGTTTGATTTGCAGCAACTGAGGCAAAATTATTACTTCAGCATTACAGAGAGGGTAAAATAGCCTAAGGTCATATATTTGAAAGAATATAGAATAGAATTTTTTGAAAACATAGATTTGAATGCTGGTTATAAAGTATTCAAAAAGCATAAAGCTGCAAAGCAAATTATTAAGCATGTATGTAGTATTTATTTT